TTGCTCTCTAGTCTTCACTTCTTGCATCAGCCAAAGGGGAAAAGGTCTGAAAGACCAGCTTTGTTTTTCTTCCAACTTGTACTCTGAACTCTGTTAGCCAACAGCACTAGCACTGCCTCACAGAAACAGTCAATCCCAAATTAAACAGCCCAGTTACGAAATCCTATAGTCAGGCTGCTGTTTTGGACTTTGGGTCCATGCCTCTGCATGTTTCCTCCCAACTGGTTTCATCCAGTGGCTCTGTCCCATTGAACAAGTGAGAGGGCTCCGAGTATGGCCAGGGGTTTTCTGCTCCACGAAGCAGACGACATTTGGCTAGGGTGTAAAATCAGTAGGCTTGAGTTACCTCCTTTTATGACTCTCAAGAGATGCACATATCCCCAGGGAATGTTAGTGCATAATTCATTCCCCTCTGCAAGCATGTTAACTTGTGAAAATCTTTTGGGCACAGTGAGTGGAGCCTTCAGAAAAGGGAGTTGTTGTATTTGGAAAGTTTTTTTTTTTTTTTTAAAGGGAAACACAGCGGGGATATTCATTGAGCATTATCTGCTAAAGAGTGAAAGAACCCTGCTGGTTAAGTTGAACTCTGTGGAAGGATCTGGTAATTCCTACAATGTTACTTCATGTTACTTGGTGTCACGTTGGTTCTCACTCATGGCAACCTCATGTACAACAGAATGAAAAGCTGCCTAGTCTCCCACCATCCTCATGATCAGTGACATACTTGAGGCCATTTTTGTCCAGCACTGATTCAGAAAATGTTCTGTTATGGTCCATAGGGTTTTCATTGTCTAATTTTTGGAAGTAGGCCTCCAGGCCTTTCTTCATGGTCTCTCTTAGTCTGAAAGTTCCAATGACACCTGTCACTATGGATTACCCTGCTGGTATTTGAAATACCAGTGACATCAGAGCAACACACACATCACCATAGTACAACATACCTACAAATGAGTGTCCCTGAAATCAGAATAGGAGATAACTTTTAGTTTGGTGTCAAAATAACTTGCACCACATTGGATGACAGAGAAATGCACACGTTTAGCCATTCTGTCAGCCCCAGAACTTCCCTGGAGCCCTGTAGATCCCAAGTAACTGAGGGCAAGCCAGCTTTTTTAGACACACCCAGACCCCCACCCAGAGTCTTATATAGGCCTGAGAGTTTCTCCTAAGGATCTGGTTATCCTACGGCATTCAGTCAGTTGATAGGTTGTTTGATGTGGTTGAACCGTGAGGTAGCCAGAATTCTCTGCGAGACATTTTTGGCATTAGACATTTTGTCCATTAGATATTTTTGTGTGTTAGTGTGAGTAATATGTCAATCTGGACAACTGGGTCATCTAATGAATAGAAATTCAATTTACATGTAGGGATTAAATAAATATCTTGGTATAACCCTTGCCTCATCAAACTTCTTTGACAGTGCCAAGAGGGAAATGAAAGTTGTTCAATGTTAAGAAGAGAACAGGTTTTTAATATGTAAAAGGAATCTTTTACTTGCTTTTAAGACTCTAGGTTACTTAAGCAGATGCAAAGCATAGGATATTTGGGCAGATGATCTCTGGCTTAAAATTCAGAAATTTTTAACCGTAAGGATCCTAGTGGTCTTGTGATATGCGTTAACTCTGAAACCTGAGTCAAAGACCAATTTGTTTAAGTAATCTCAGTTGACAAATATTTAATGAGTCCCTACAGCATGCCAAGCACTTGGAGCAAGGCAGGGAGTCCATTTAAGACCTGCCTTCCTCGAATTGTGCTCTGCTGAGGGACAAGATACATGGGACAATCAGAATTAACAGTGAGAATTTATGACTTAAACTGTCCGTCCTTATGCTGCAAAATACAAAATAGGGGACATAAGACCTGGAGAAGTCAGAGTGTGTTTCGTCATAGACTGGATTTGAGAGGAGAAGTTAGAGGGACCTCCAGGTGAATTTAATAGGACAGTTGAATGCAAGCAGGACTGAGAGTGGCTTTTAGGTGGGAGCACAAAGAGCTCACTCAGCCTGTGGACATTTCCAGCCCAGGTAACATTTATTGAGCACCTACCACATTCTAGGCACTCTTATGGGGAAGAGGGGAAGGTTAAAGATGGATGAGATCAAGTCTTCACCCTCAAAGGCCTTAAGTCTAATAGGAGTCAGTTGAGTTGATTGTAATGTGTCCCTGGGTGGTACAAACTGTCAGGCTCTGGACTGCTAACTGAAAAGTTGGTGGTTTGAACCCACCCAGAGGCACCTCAGAAGAAAGGCCTGGTGATCCACTTGTAAAAGGTCACATTGCAAACCCTCTGGAGCTCTGCAACACAGGGGTCACCATGAGTCAGAATTGAGTCAGTAGCCACTGGAAAGAGATTGATCGTAGAGCTATGGAATGCAGGGTCCCCAGAGCAGTTCACAGGCTTTGGGAATTACAGCCTGGAATGGTGAGAGCCTTAGAAAAGGGTGTCATGCAGGACTGCCTCAGATTGCAGAGTTAAGCTCTGACGTCCTGGCAGAGAGTTCTAGCACGTTCTTGGCTCAGGGTTGTTGCTTGAGGCCTGAAACCCAGGCCACTGGAAGACCAATCCCTCAGGTTTCAGTCCTCAGAATCTGCTAGTATGATGGCTCACACTAAATGGGTTCCCATACTTTAATCTCAGTTGGCACTGATGCCTGGTGGGGAATGTGAGATCAGGTTTAAAATACTTCAGCCTCTCTCACCGGCCACTGAAACTTGAGAGAATAAAGTGGTACTGTTATTGAGGGCTGGGCCTGTCTTTCCCCCTAGGAAGGTCTCAGTCAAAGTGACTGTTGGAACAGAAAGTTGTATTTTAAGAGGAAGTCTAATGAAAGCCAGTGTAGTAAGGGAAATATTTTTTTATAATGCCTGTTAGGAACAGACATTCAACTTGATTTTTAAAAATAGGACAATAATAATGAGTGTTGCCCATTTCCAAACAAATATCATTTAGAAGCTGGACATCTGCTTTGTTTGTTTTTGGGCTTTCATGCCATGTTAATGAAAAAATATTAATTTTCTAAAACTTTTTTTTTTTTTTTTTAAGATACTATACCTCTGCTAGGAGCTCTGGTGGCACAGTGCCTACCTAAGGCATTTCAGTGCTAACCAGAAAGCTGGTGGTTCAAACCCAGCAGCCACTCCTTGGAAGGAAAATGGGGCAATCTACTTCCATAGAGATACCACCTTGGAAACACAAGGAGGGGTTGCTATGAGTCGGATCTGACTTGACGGCAGTGAGTTTGGTTTGGTTTTTGGTTTCTACCTCTGCTCTGCCTGCAATTCATGTGAGTTACTCTTTTGGCAGGATTAGGGTGAATTTTAATACTAAAACTCTTATACTGAATAACTAAGAAGCTGTGGAACTGGTATACTTAGTAAATGATCCCTCTCTGCATTAAGCACGTGATTTGCTATTACCAAGTGCCAATAATACAATAAGAATGTGCTTGTGTAGGTTTATCTGTATCTGTCGTTGTTGTTGTTGTTATTTGCCATCGAGTCGGCCCCGACTCATAGCGACCCCTCCTTGGGTTTCCGAGGCAGTATCACTAACGGAAGGCTGTGCTAATCCAGTGAGCCCCAGAAGCAGGCTTGCAGTGGGCTTTCGCAATTGTCCGATGAGCAACACAACTGCTCCAAGCACGGTGCCCTCCCTGGCATCAGCTTGAATGTGGGCTGTGGCAGAAAGTTCTGGAACGCTTAGGCAACTGGGGGCTCTTTTCTGTAGTGATAAAGCCCTGAGCATGGCCAGGCCTGCACAGCATTTGGTGGGCCGTGATGGATTGCTCACTGGTTAATTATTTAGCCTAAGCACCGTAAAAAATAAAACAAAAGCAGTTGCTGTTGAATTGAATCTGCCTCATGACAACCCCATGTGTTACAGAGTGGGATTTCTCCACAGGGTTTCCAAGGCTGTAACCTTTCAGAAGCAGATCTTGAGACCTTTTTCCCAAGGCAACTCTGGTGGGTTCAAACCACCAACCTTTTAGTTATAGTAGAGGGCTTAACAGTTTGTGCCACCCAGGGACTCCTTAAACATCATAAAACCTTTATATATACAGGTATGCCCCATTTTTCAGAAGTTCGCTTTACACCACATCACTTTTACAAGAGATTTACATTACTACCTGTTTTCGCTAACCAAAAGAAATGCGAAGATTTCTTTCATAAAAGAAGAAGAAGAAGAAAAACTAGCATTCAGCATTTGTTGTGCAGCAAGCCATTAAAGTGCACACCCCAAGCAGTGAGAGCGGCGTTGCCAAACTCCTTCCCTGGGGACTGAACTCAGCATCTCAACATCAAGCCTCCATAGCTTTGAACTGTATCTGTGAACGCTTTCTGTTAGTGTTGTGTTAGGTTGTGTGCGTTATTTGGTGTATGTTATGTTAGGTTGTATATGTTATTTGGTGTGATTTATTTTAATAGGTTATTTTTTCGGTTTGGCAACGCTCAAAAATGTATGTTTCTCCCGTATAAATTAATGGTAGTTGCTTCTTCACTTTACATCGTTTAGGTTTATGAAAGATTTCATAAAAACACTCTGCTTTTGGGTAGTAGGGGAAACCTGTATCCCCAATAAATTCTTAAGTGGTTTGAATGTTTTGTGGCATTTCCAGTAAGGGAATCTCACAGTGACTTTGTGACAAACAGAATGCCTGACATGGCTTATAACTAGTATTGGCAGGATTGAAATGCAGACATGTTTAGTGGGACATAGCAAAATAAGCTCATGACAGGCGCTACATCTCCAAGCTGCCTTTATTCTACTGGGTTAGGTTCCCAGTAGAATATAGGCTTCCCTTGAGGGTGTTAGTCTGTGGTCAGCCCTTGATTTAATTCAAGTTGTCAGGGTGTCCTGAGGAAGGGTAGAGCAGAAATGTGGACTCAAGAATGAAGAACAGATGGGTAGTTACTATGGTGTGAACTTGAACAGTAAGATACATAAGCGTGTTTCTTAATCTCTCAATTAAGATCCTGAATTCCCTCTCCTTTTTCCTCAGATAGCAGAGCTGACGTCTGATAAAGACATGTACCTTGACAACAGCTCCATTGAAGAAGCTTCAGGAGTATATCCTATTGATGATGATGACTATGCTTCTGCATCAGGCTCAGGTAAGGCTACCGCTACCTGCTTCTCAACACCCGCCTCCATTCTCCATGTGCACGCCCACATACTTTACTGGAATTTACTTCAGGGAGACAGGCAGGGTGACCAGGGAATAACAGCATGGCTTTTGGAGTCAGTCAGACTTTGGTTACAAATTCCAACTCTACCACTTAACATCTGTGAGGTCTTGGGGAATTTTTAACTTCACTGAGCCTCAGTTTCATTTGTAAAATGGAGGGTAATAATGGTCCCTACCACATAGGGTTGTTGTGAGGATTAAAGGGATTGACACATGTAAAGCTTTTAGAGTTTGGTGCTTGGCGCAGTGTTCTTCTTCAACATCAGCTTTTAATTTTATTATTAAGCCTATCAATGTGTGTCATGGGAACCATCCTTAAAGAAATCCTTCAGACACTAGTTTCATTTAAAACAAAAGAAGAAAAAAAAAACATTTGTCCTTTGTTAAAGATTATACATGAGAGCAAGAAGCGTTATCCTTTCTTACTCCTAGAATATTGCTCAGAAGTAGAGGGGAGAGGTAGCAGCCAAGTAAAAAGATTGTAGAGTGATGTCACCACCTCCTTTGGTATATTAGCTATCTATCGTTATGCAGTAATGCTGTATAACAAATGACCCCAAAACTTGGTGGCTTAAAACAACAACTATTTAGGAGGAAGTGGGAGGTGAGCTGTTGCATTGTGGTAAATTGCAGTCAATGTGATGAGACAAAGTATATGTGAGCTGCTGTATGGAAAATGAACTTGCTCTGTAAACTTTCACCCAAATCACAATAAAAATTAAAACAAACAAAAAAACATTTATTTAACTCATTCTTCAGGTTGGCGGTTTTGGCTGGCTTTGGTGGGCTTCCCCACAGGGATCAGTGGCAGGTTGGGTATACAGCTTTGCTGATCTTGGCTTGGCTTTGTCGTATCTCTGGGGCAGCTGGGCTAACGTGGCTCTGGGCTACACAGTATGTCATCCTCCAGCAGTCCCTTATTTATTCATGAGGAATAGATAGAGATCCCAAGAGGTCAAGCAGATGTATGCAAAGCGTCTTGATACCTAGGCTTCAGAATTGGCACGTCATTACTTCTAGAGCAGGGAGAAATAGCTCAAAAGTTCAGGCTAGACTCCTTCTCTTAATGGAAGGAGCTACAAAGTCAAATTATAGAGAATGTATATACAATTCAGAATAAAGGATTCTAGCCATGTTTGCTATGCACCATAGCTGGTAAATATTTTCTTCAGTGCCAGGAATGGCCCCTGACAAACTGAGAGTGAAGAAGAACTTGTGAATATATTTAATTAATGGTCAAGTCAGGAATTTGTGGTTGCAAAAAGCACATGCAGGCAGCATCTTCTGACCTCCTCTAACTTCACAAGAGGGAGACACACTCACCATCAGCAGCCCAAGGCTTATTCCTGTGAGGCCAGACATGCCACCACCCTCCAGCCTTTTTACCAACTTTGACACCACCCATCCCTCCCTCAGTACTTAACTACTTCTCTGCTGAGTTTGATAATTCGTTGCAATGGCCACATAGAACTTACAGACAGTACACATGATTTGGGGATTTATTAGGGAAGTAACAGGCTACAAGTCAGGAATGCTATCAGGATACAATTCTTCAATCAGGACAGTTTTCCCTCTGCTGTGCCCTTAGACATGCCTCCCGGCCTGGCCTCTGCCTCTGTGGGCCAGCTAAGCCTGCCTTTCTGTCTCTTGGTTCCACTGCTACTGTCTCTCTGCCAGAGCATCACTCATCCAAAGAGGTCCAGCACAGGGATCTCGGGTCCAAGGACATGCTCCACTTCATCTCTAGCTCTTATCTCTCAATGGCGTTAGATCCCCCCTCTGCCTCTAGGAGGGCTCATTTTAAGCCAGGCAGAGTGACAAAACTAACCAATCCCAACATCAGAGTTCTACATACCTCATTTGCATGGTCCCACCCAGTAATCTGGTGGGAGTTACAAAGACTACGGCTAGAAAGCCATACCAAGTAATTCACTGCACTGCAGTGGTCAGCAGGATGCTAGAAAAGTCTTAGGCACTTTCTGGCTTAGGGTTTTAATTGTAGATTCAACAGATAAAAAATTATGCTGATCATAGAATCATGGTTGATGTCTGATGACCAGATTGGCCTGTGCTTCAGAATAACCCAAAAACAAAGTGGAAGTCAATTATGTCATTGGTAGGTATCTAGCCATCTAAGAGTGAATGTTTTAAGTTGGAAAAAAGTCTGAGAAAGACAAGAGAGGTGGTGGCTGACCTAGTAACAGGGAGCTTACAATGCAATCCTAATGTAAAAATAGTCCTTGTTATTCTTGGGAGAGTGATACATATCGCACATGCAGAATCAGTGTGAAAAGAGTTGTTCTACAAAGCCCACGACTCTATTAATATCTTTCACTCATGGCACCTCTTTTTTGTTTTAGCACTTCAGAATTGCTTTGTAATTGTCATCATCAAAGTATCCCAAGAGATAATAAATATGAACACTTTTTTGTCCCCATTTCACAGATTTTAGAATGCAAGAGTTGGAGGGCATCTGTAAGGGTTGTCCATCTTGTTGAGATCTGCCAAGATTGTTCTGAAGTTTAATTAAAGAAAACATGTGCCAACTCCTGCTCACCTGCCTTCCCTCCTCATTCAGAGGAGTAAGGGTTGGAGTGGCTTATTTGAAATCTTAACCCACTAATTCAATAGATGTTGTTGTTGTTATTTGCCATTGAGTCAGACCCAACTCATAGTGAGCCCTCCTTGGGTTTCTGAGGTGGTATCGCTATGGAAGTAGATTTCCCAGCCTTCCTTCTGAGGAGTGGCTGGTGGGTTTGAACTGCCAGCCTTCTGGTTAGCAGTCAGGTGCCTTAGCCACACTACTTCTGCCTCAGCTGTAGCCTTGAGCTGATCATTGCTGCAAAGAAGTAGAAGAGTATCATTTTTGATCAGAGATTCTCTTACACTGCACAGAGGTAAGGAGCTTTGGTGGCACAGTGGTTAAAGCATATGGCTGCTAACTAAAAGATTAGTGGTTCGAACCCACCAGCTGCTCCATGGGAGAAAGACGGGGCAGTCTGCTTCTGTAAAGATTTACAGCCTTGGAAACTCTATGGGGCAGTTCTAGTCTGTCTTATAGGGTCACTATGAGTCAGAATCGACTCAGTGGCAGTGGATTTTTGGCTTGGCACTGGGGTGTTTTTCAGCTTAAAGGCAATGTTAACTGTAACTAAAATTTGTAGAGCACTTACTGTATGTCAGACAGTGTTCTCATCCTTATAACAGCTCTGTAAGGATAGACTCCATAATCATCTCCATCTCTCACATAAGAAAAACTAAGGCACAGAGAAGTTAAGCAACTTGCCCATTGTCACACTGTTAGGAAGTGATACAGCTGGGATAGAAACCAGGGAGTCAGGTTGGGAGTATGTTCTCTTTTTCTTTCAATTCATTTCTGTACTGCCTCCTGTGTCATAATACTATTCTAGAATCAAAGGCCCTGCCTAGCTGATGCCCTGTTCTAGCTGGAGGCACTGGGATCCCACAGGGTTTTGACCAGTGTTCCCTCTGTCCCAGCTGCCCAGTGAAAAATCAAATAGACTGGAGGGGAATGGCTAAAGGCCCAGAGGGTACTTCAGAGGTGGAAAGATGGGATCATATTACATATGTGGACTCAGGTGTGAGTTTTAGTGAGATTAAAAACCTCCAGCCGTTCGCTTAAACATTCCATAAGCATTCACTGTAAGCCAGATACTATGACATGTTCTTGGGACATAGAGATGAAACAAGAACAGGATGCTATGAAAAAGGAATATTCCAAGAACACAAAAGAACTCTTGTAGAGTAGATCTATCATGTCAAAAATGAAAATTTAGTAGAGGGGGCGAAGATAAAGAGGATATTTATTCATTCAACAGATATTCATTAACACTCCCTACATGGGGTAAAAGGCACCTTTTCTAGGTACTAGGAACACTTTAATAAATAAAACACACAAAAATACAGCAATGCTTTCTCTGGAAGTGGAATCATTTATTTATTCCTTTGTGTATTTTTATATCTCCAAATTTCATGTATGATTGTGTATTTTCTTTTAACATTCTCTTTATAAGCAGAACAAAATGTTATTTTTAAAAAGAAGTTCAATGACTATGGGCAACATAGGAAGAAATAGCTCTGTGATGGAGGGATCAAGGAAGGCTTCAGAGAGGGGAGGATGGCATTGTTGGCCAGACAAGATAGCATCAACAGGAATTTTCCAGGTGGAATCGGGCTCTGAAGTAGGATGTTTCAGGCAAAGAGAACAAACACGTGAGCCAGAAGTCCAGAATGAGGAAGAGGTGATGAGGGGCTCCCAGGTTTCTGGGCAAGACAAACACATTAATCTTTCTTGAAGAGAGTTAAAACAGTAGGAAGAGCCACTCTAGGAAGGTAAATGACTCACCTGTCTTCTAACTTCAGAAGTGCTACCTTCAAAGGATTCTCTGCTACAAATTTCTTTGCTCTCACAACAAATTCTCCACACCCCTAGCTTGATGACTTATATTTATAACTATTACGAACAAGTGAACAAGGGGGTCTTGCAGGCCCTTAATTGAAATTTTAAATTGCTCATTGAAATTTTATTCTTTGTCAGAAAATAATTCATTTTAGGAAGAAACTAAGCATACTTAAAGTATGTGATATTAAAATAGATATAAAATTTTAATGGAAAATCAGGTAGGTTAATAAAGCAGCAATGTATTTCTGGAACTATCATTATTAATGACATATTTACATAACACTTTAAGGTATACAGAATGCTTCCAAATATATACCACAATTGAGCCTCTGAGAACTAGTTATTATTATTCCCATTTTACAGATGAAGAAACTGAGAGTCAAGTATTACTTGCCCAAGATCACAGAGCTAATGAATGCCAGAACCAGTACTAAGTGTATCTGGGTTTGTTGAATGCCAAATCCTTTATTTATTCCAATATACCCTGCCATTTCTTCTCCATATAATGTAATGTTGTGAAGTTAAAGGAGACAGTTGCTATATTAAAAATTGAAGTTACATAGCCATTGCACTGTTTTCATTATGTTCTCTCTTAACTTTCCAAACTTTTTTACATCAGTATGATTCTGTGAAAAATAACCAATTTCTTTTGGTTGAGGAATTAGCAATTCTTCCAAGGAATCAGAAGGGCTTGGAGGAAATAGGTTAGTGGTACAGAGTTTAAGTTGTTACATATATGACACATGATCCCCTTTAAAATAGTATTGTAATAATAATAAAAAAAAATACAATAATAATATTGTATTTTAAAGTGTCAGAAATTCTTAAATGTTGTTCTGGTAAAATGACAAAAAATAATACTCAGATGGAAAGTTGGTGGATAATCCCTGATTGAGCAAATATCGAAGCAGAGCCTGTTACGTGCTAGGCACTATGTTAGACACTCAGGGAGCAAAACAGATGGAATCCTGTTATCATGGAGCTTCCAGGCTAGTGAGGGAGACTTTCTAGTAGGAGAGACTTGAATCAGTAGTTACACAAATGAACACATAATTACAAACTTATGATAAATGATTTTCAAGAAATAAAAATGTTTAAAAAAAAAAAAAAAACATTTAGAAAGGATCTTTGACCTAACATATTAGGACCAGAGGAGGTCTTCCCCAAGATCTAACCTTTGTGGTGAGATTTGGGTGCAAGTTAAGAGTGAACTAGGTTAGAGCTTCTGCAAAGGTATCAGGGGACCATGTTTGAAGCACAGGCAACAACAGGGAAAATGGTGCTGGAAAGTATGCCAAGGCTAGACCATGCAAGGCTAGGTTGAGGCATTTTATATTTATCCAAGAGCAGTGAGACACATGGTAAGTGTTTTAAGCAGGGTGTTGTAGCCATAGGCAGTTTGTGCACAGAGAACTGAAAGGAAATATTAGGAAAAAGGCCTGGCTTAAGGTGGTGGCACTGGAGGTGGTGGCTTGGTTTCAGGTGTTAGAATGGAGGCTATTAAGAAGGTAAAATCAACAGGACTTGGTGATGGATTCAGTATGGAAATGGGGAAGAGAAAATTCTGGTTTGTAGGGATATAGGATTCCATTCACTGAAAGGGAGCCTAGTGTGAGGACCAGGTCTGGGAAGAGAAAGGAGGGAGATATTATGAGCTCCGTTTTGGATGTATTATGTGTATGGTTCCTTTGAGACATTCGGTGAAAATGTCAAGTAAGCGAATGATACATGAGTCTGAATTTCAGAGGGTGGTACCATCTATATTTAGATGTAATTGAAGCCATGTGTGTGGGTGAGGGAGAAACTGTGCAGTAAGACGAGGCCTAGAGTTGAGCCTTAAGGAGCTCTTGATGTTGTATGTCCACGTAGAGGAGGAGGAACCTGCAAAATGGACTTAGAAATAGCCAGGGAGGAGAGGTGAAAGCCAGGAGGTCAGAGAAGGCCAAAGGAAGAGGTCATCATCAAAGGAAATGAAAGTAGACAGTGTCATTGGTGTTGGTTTTGGTTAGAGGAGGCACACTCTGCAAAATGCCACTAGATTTGGCATATTGGAGGATATTGGTGACCTTCACAAGATAGTGCCTAAGGCATTTGACTGCTAACCAGAAGGCTGGCAGTTCAAACCCAGCCACTTCTTGGAAGGAAGATTGGACAATCTACTTCCACAGTGATACAGCCTTGGAAACCCAAGGAGGGGTTGCTATGAGTCAGATCTGACTCAACAGCAGTGAGTTTGGTGGGTTTTTTTTTTGTGGGGGGCAGTTTTCACAAGACAGTATCAATAGTGCCATGACAGGGAGAGTCTTAACTGGAGGAAGAAAACAGAGAATGGAATAGATGGTGAGGAAAGGAGTCAAAGATACTCATAACCCCATTGTTAAAGTTTGGCTATAAAAAGGCGAGAGAGGGCTTAGCATGAATTAAGCATGATTTAAGGGATCAGCTAGAGGAGAGTTTTCTTTTTTTGTTTATTGTTTTAATGTAGTTTTGTTTTATTGTGTTGTGTGGAAAATGGAGCATGTTTTAGCATAGAAGGGACAAAATCTCACTGAGCAGAAGAAATTGAACCGTAGTGAAAGAGGGGCAAATTGAGAGTGGTCAGGGTAATAATACTGTGCAAAAAATTGCCAAGCTACACAAAGATCCCCTTTGAAATTATGTCAGTGAAGACTGAGGGAAAGTTTGTGTAGGTATTTTAAAAGAACATGGCTTCTGTCAGTATCAGCATTAGACAATATTGTCATTAACGTAGAAGCCTGCATTGTGTTCTTAATCTCAGTACATCTTTGCTTACTTTTCTAGGAGCTGATGAGGACGTAGAGAGTCCAGAGATGACAACATCTCGAACACTTCCAAAGATACTGTTCACTAGCGTTGACCCAAAAGTGGAAACTACAACATTGAAAATTCAGAACAAGATACCTGCTCAGACGAAGGTGTGTTTTATTTTGCATTATATTATCAGGTTGTTATAAATGCTTTTCAGGGTATAGTGTACAAAATAGTCCTTTTAAGAGGTTCTGTTTTAAGTTATGGAAGGACAAATGGTCTTTTAAATTATGGAAGGACAAATAGTCTTTTCATTATGTTATTGCAATTATTTTTTACATGGTGTTCCTTCTTAAGGAACTCATAACCCAGTTAAGAAGCCAAGCCTTTTCCGTTTATTTAGCTTAAGCCAAGAAAATTTGTTTTTATTTCATAAAGGAGGTCTTAAGTTAAAACCATTGTGAACTTTACATATTCCACAGGTTGTGGACTAAGGAGATTCCAAGTCACGTCTTGAGTTGGAACTAGTCTCAGTTAATTTCTTAGAGTCTCCTCATGTCTACCACCAATTGTATGTAAACTTTGAACTCTTTCAGTGATCATGATGAATCTAGGTGTGTCTGGAGGAGCCTTGGTAGCACAATGGTTAAAGTGCTCATCTGCTAACCAAGAGGTAGGCCGTTTGAACCCACCAGCTGCTGTGTGTGAGAAAGTTGTGCCAGTCTGCTTCCATAAAGATTTAAGCCTTAGAAACCCTATGGGGCAGTTTTGCTCCATTCTATAGGGTTACTATGAGTTACAATTGATTCAACAGTAGTGGGTTTGGGTTTTTTCCGTTTTTAAGTACATTTGTATGTATTCATTTTTGAGAGCCAACTTACTAGGAATAAGTCTTTGACTTTAGAACAAAGCAAAGCTATCAGCTAATGAAAAATAGGAGAGTCATAATTTTGAGCTTGTTAGCATAATATTGTAGTTGGCTGATCTTCCACTAATAGGTAAGCTATTTAAGTTAGAAAATGCCTATTAAAGTCTGAAGAAGACCTGGTTTTCAAATCCTGGAGCCGGTTGAGTTTCTCCGCTTCTCTTTATCCATTCCTTATGGATTATTGAGAAGATTACACGTGAAGGCATGTAGTATGGCACCTGAGACCTAGTAAGCATTCTGCAAGCCCTTACTTGAATTTGGTGGAGCAGTAGAGACCAAATCATTTCCCCTGTGTTTAATGAGCATATGTTATACTTGGAAGGGTAGACTTTGTAGATGGTTCATGGGTAGCGGGTAGCACAATGCCTGTGAAAACTTAGAAACTGACTGTCCCTTTTATGGAGTTCACCCATCTGTTGATTGGATGAGAGATGCTGCCAAGCATTAGCAGCAGAAAGGATGTGGGAAGCTGTGTCATGAATGTAGAGAGAGGTCTTCTCTGGAGGAAGAAGCGTCCCTCTGCAGACAGGGGTACATAGGTAGGGGCTCCCTGCTCTTCATTTCCTACCCTTATCAGAATGCCTTTCTTCTTCCTCCTCCTCCTGGTCAGTCTAGCTAGTGCATGTGACCAAGATGCCAGATGGGTTTCTACACATTGGGAGCAGCCAGGAGGTCAACTCTCTCCAGACTAGGGTGCTAAGAAGGGTTTGTTAGTGTTAGGGACAGATTGACGTCATAGGCCAGGTTGTAGGGAGGAAAGGAGATGCTCCATGAGAACTGAGGCAGACATAAACCTAGCAAGTGCTCACTCCATGTGTGGTAACTGCTCCATAAATGTATAAGTTGAATGAATGAAGGAGAAGGGGAGAGATGAAAATAATAGATGTGATTGATGTGGATTGCCTGAGCACCTCAGGGTGTGTGTGGCAGCGCTATCCAGCATGGCTTTAGGAGAGATGCATTTGGCTTTTACCACATTCTATGTGACTACCCATCATGGCCGAAGTTGTTGAAGTTAGGACTACTAGGACTTGTTGGTTTGAGGCAAGAAACTCTGCTGGGTGAGTTTTTGTCTTCAGTGATAAAGAATTGTATCCTAAGCAGAACCTAATTTGACACAGAGTTCTTTCTGGTCTGTTGAAAACAGTGGATTAAAAATTGATTTAAGTTTTTTTTTAAAAAAAAATGCCTTTAAGGAAGTAATCGCATCAGATCAAGATTGAGAAGATAGACATTTGGCAGGTGAGCATCTATTCAAGAGAAGTTAAATATGTCAAATTCTATTCCAGGCACTGACTGATAATATTGATCCCCAATAGCATTACTAATAACAGTGATTGAATTTCCCATTTTGCAGCTGAATTAAATGTTGTCTCTATGATATCATTAGTGTAGATTTTGCTTTTGAATGGGTCTCATAGTGGCATTAATGTCACCATTGAAGATACTCTATCTAGTTTGTTGTAAATTTATGTGACAAAAAAAGAGAACACAGTTACTTGTTTAAGAAGTGCATTGTTCATAATCTCTTCCTTCCATTGCATTTCCATGGCATCCAAACAACCAGACATTGTTGTAACATTTTTAATTGGTTCATTAAATCATTCATGCTACCTTTTTGTCATTTCATTTTACACATATATACAAGAGTTAAAGTATTTCAAATTATATCTTTACTGTAGAATGGTTTTCTCATAGGAAACCCCTGCTTCTATATAGTTAACTAAAAAAAAACAAACTCATGGCCATCGAGTCACTTCTAACTCATAGCAACCCCCATTGGGTTTCTGAGGTGGTAAATCTTTACAGAAGTTGATTGCCTGGTCTTCCTTCTGCAGAGTAGTTGGTGGGTTTGAACTGCCAACCTTCTGGTTAGCACTGAAATGCCTTAGGCACTGCGCCACCATAAAACTTTGCAATTTAAAAAATGAATATGCTTTCCAGAGCACCTTGATGCTTGTGTTGGGTTCACGCACCAAACCCATTGTGGATCATTCATCTAAGTGCATGATAGGCCCAGTTCTGTGCAGGCCTTCCATCCACCAGCCTTCTGATTAGCAGTCATATGCCTCTGGAACTATACCACCAGAGCTCCTCCCAAACTCCCAGATTCCTGGAATTCAAACTTCTCCTTGCCTGCTGGATCAGAAGCTGAATCAAAGGAAACTGAGCAATGTCATGAGCTCTCTCAAATGACTTCAGGGATTCAGGAAACCTGACGTAAAATAATCTGACAAAGATGATGTGGATAAAGTTGTTCTCAGTATTACAGTAGCTGTTTATGTCCACCTCATTTCCCATCAGAACTTAACTCTCTCTGATTGGAGGTGTTCTGGTGGCTCAGTTTTTAAGGCATTCGGCTGCTAACCAAAAGGTCAGTTTGTTGAACCCACCAGCTCCTCCAGAAGAGAAAGATGAGGCAGTCCACTTCCATGAAGTTTTACAGCCTGGGATACCCCATGGGACAGTTCTACTCTGTCTTACAGTGTCTCTATGAGTCACAATTAACTAAATGGCAGTGGGTTTGGTTTTGGTTAGTCACAGACCTGAATATCCTTTTGAGTTTCCTCTTCCCTTTCCTAACCTCTGATAGCTGTGCTAATGAGCAGTGGAAAGGGTCTTAGATTGGGACCTGGATAATTCACTCTCTGATCTGTTGAGTTGTCTGTCCTTCTAGTGGGAAGCCAACTAGTAATAGGCTTTCCATGAGAAGAATGAGGAAATCTCAGGCAAAATACTGTCAGTGAGTTTCTCTCTTTACTTCACTTTGGTACATAAAGGCCTGGCAAAACCTTTCAAATATTCTATCATATTAATGTAAAGAACAGTGTGGATTTGGGAGTGTACATTGTATAAGGTTACTTCTCTGGGGTCTTCTACTTCATGTAAGTTATGTCAGTGTGAGGTGTAAAGCAGTACAGGGTTTCTTGGGACTAGAGGAAAATAAGGCAATCATTCTTTCTCAGACTTTATAAACATATGATCTTCACTGGTAGCCTAGTGTTCTGTTGATTGAGGCAGAGATCTGGCATAGCGTGGAGTTCAAATGGATCCATTTGGTTTAACTTGTAGACCTTCTTAGAAATGACAGGGTCCTTAAAGCACCCCATAAAAGTGAGGTTTTCCTTCTTAAGTTTTTCAATTCTCTAGACTTAAATTAGTAGGCTGCCATTTTGAATGAACCTGATCCTTCAGAAAGCAATCAATCACTTAACCCATGGCATAATAGACTTTATAGAGTCATGGGATGGTTACATGTTCTTAGGGAAAGCAGTAAAGCTAAAAACAATGGTTGTCTGTAGTCTTTATAGCCTAGTGGAGTAGGAAGTGTTTTTCATCAGTCTTGTTGATCTACAAGTACAGGCAATTCATTTGAACTAAACTCCTAATCCAGTGGTTCTCAAACCATAGAGTTATCTGGAGACCTTTAAATATATAAACAACAATAATAATCGATGTCAGAGCCCCACCCCAGACCAATTGAAACAGATTCTTTAGTGGCAGGGCCCATATTTATTTATTTTTAAGCTTTTCAGGTGATTGAGATTCCATCTAAGGTTTGAAAATCATTGCTGCAACCTTGTGTCATTTACCCAAGATGGCTAACATTAGTGCTGAATATTGGAAAGTCAATGGATGCTGTGTGTGTGTGCTGGTGTGGGAGACTATAAAAAGTGTTCTGGGGTGAAAAAAAAAGAACTTATGTGGAGTATGCAAGTAAACATACTTCTTGTTGTTATGTGCCATTGAGTCGACCCGACTCATAGCGACCCCCGCCTTGGGTTTCCGAGGCAGTATCACTATGGAAGTAGATTGCCCAACCTTCCTTCCGAGGAGTGCCTGGTGGGTTTGAACCACCAGCTTTCTAGTTAGCCGTCATATACCTTAGGCATTACGCCACCAGAGAGTATTCTGAGGTTTTGGAGAGGTGAACAATCAGTGAGGGCTTCTTGAAGGACAAATGGGCAATGAAAGAAGTGAATGCCTTGAATTGAGATTAGGAGAATTGCATGAACCAAAACACAAATGTGAAGAGCTATCTCAGATAATAAGAGGCAGAGTGAACGTGGCCTGGCGGGATTTTTTACTCTGATGCTGTAGTGCCTAAGGCATTTAACAGCTAACCATAAGGTTGAAGGTTCAAATCCACCAGGCACTCCTTGGAAGGAAGATTGGGCAATCTACTTCTGTAGTGATAACGCATCAAAAACCCAAGGAGAGGTCACTGTGAGTCAGATCCGACTTGATGGCAGTGAGTAGGAGGTGGGTTGTGGGAACCCTGGAAGCCAGCCAACACATAGAGTTAGGAGGTTATTGCAGGAATTTGGGTGTAATGTGAAGAAGACCTGAAGTAACGCTGAAATGGGAATCCAAGGAAGGAACTTAATTTGAGAAAAGTGAGGAAAGACAAGTATAGGGATCCAAAAGAATAACAATACCATTAATGGAAACGGAAAAGTAGACCAGTATGATTTGGTGGTGAATTGCCTTTTAGATTTGACGTGTAGAGTTAAATGGGCTGCCAGGAGTTGATGTCGTTTAGTAAGCCATTGGCTTGGTAGGAATGATGGTGACTGGAGATGAGGTTGTGAGAGTTATTACTGTAGATTTATACTTCAGAATTGTAGAATGCGCAAGAACCTCAGTGTGCCCTTCATTTGCTGGATGAGGAAACTGAGGTCCAAAAACATAGCATGACTTCGTAAAGGTCCCACAATAACTAATTACAGAAGCCAGGCTTGTAGAAGTCCTAATTCAGAGTTCTCTGAAGCTTTAAGTGTAAGTACAGAGAAAAACTACCAGGTAGACCTGGGCAAGGACTACTCCCCATAGAGTAAGAGTAGGAGTACAGTCAGGTGTGGGGAATGCCTTGGAGAGAACATTGAAAGGAAGCTGTCATCAGCAATGCCATGTATAGCAAAGAGATGAAGGAATAAGGAGAATTGGGGCCATGCTTTTAGATTGAAGCTATCGAAGGGAGATGGTGGTCTGAAGTCAGAATTTGTTGTTAGTTGCCACTGAGTTGATTCCAATTCCTGCAACCCCATGTGTACAGAGTAGAATTGCTCTGTAGGGTTTGGTTTTGTTTTAATGTATTTGCTTTTTTTGTTGTTTTTTTTGTAACTTTTTATTGTGGTTTGGGTGAAAGTTGATAGGTCAAATTAGTGTCCATTCAACAATTTACATCCATTTTGTTTCATGACATTAGGTGCAATCCCGTCAGTGTAACAGCACTCTTCCCAGCACTTCATCCCTGGGTTCCTTGTTTTCATTCATCTATCTTTCTTGCCTCTTCCTGCCTTCTGAACTTTGTTTGGGGGCATATACTTCCTTTTTGGTCTTGTGTGGCTGAGGAGCACATTCTTCACGAATGTTATGGCACACTTTTATGTTGTTGTTAGGTAGGTGCCACCAAGGTGGCTCCAACTCATAGTGACCCTGTGTACAACAGAATGAAACACTGCCCTGTCCTGTGCCACGCTCACAATCCTTGCTGTGCTTTAGTGTTCACTTTATAGTCCTGTCTATTGTTTGGCTGAAAGGTAATCTCCAGGAGTGGGTTTACTGCCAGATTTGAAGGGTATCTAAGGGCCATAGTGTCGGGGGTCCCACCAGTCTTGGTCAGACCAAAATCTTTTTTATTATTTTTACTTTTTTTGCCACTCTGCCCAGTACCTTCTACTCTGATCCCAACCAGAGCGATTGGTAGTGGTACCTGGCCACTGTCTAGTTCTTCTAGTCTCAGGCCATTAGAAGCTGGGGTTCATGTGGTCTCTTCCATAGAGTTGTCAAGGCTGTGACCTTTCTGCGGTAGAGAGCACCAGGTCTGTCTTCTGAGGTGCCGCTGGCTGGGGTCAAACCACCAACCTTTCAGCTAATAGTCGAGCACTTAACTGTTTGCACCACCCAGAGACACCCTGAAGTCAGAAGTAGTTGTTGTTGTTGTTATGTGCCATCGAGTCAGATCCGACTCATAGCAAACCCTCCTTGGGTTTCCAAGGCAGTATCACTATGGAAGTAGATTGCCCCATCTTCTTTTCGAGGAGTGGCTGGTGGGTTTGAACCGCCAGCCTTCTGGTTAGCAGTCAAGTGCCTTAGGCAGTATGCCAGCAGAGCTCCCTGAAGTTAGAAGAGTGGTGATAAAATAGAGATCTTTTGAAGTGTTGACTCAGACAGTCTAAACATATCATTAGGATTATTGGGCACTCAGTAAAATGTCTATCTCGTGTATATGTCTGGTGTGTGTCATACAAAATCCATCATGGGACTCACCCATTGTACAAATACCACGCAAAATGATGATTCCAATTATTTCCTAAATTCATTAGGTGAAGAAAAGGAACGTTGGAATATGCTCATCTTAACTATTTCTCCTTCCCAGCACTTTTTAAAGATCTATATAATATTTCCCTGTTTCTTATACCAGTCACCTGAAGAAATCGATAAGGAGAAAGTTCACATGTCTGACTCAGAAAGGAAAATCGACCCAGCTGAAGAGGATACAAATGTGTATACAGAGAAGCACTCTGACAATCTGTTTAAGCGAAAAGAAGTCCTGGCAGGTGAGTGGTGGGGCTCAGGAAGCGAGGTGGCCCTTCCGGTGACCTCTGCCTCAGTGATACTCAGAAGTGTGTGTAGGCAAGACTTGCTGAATGTCACCTTCCTGCTGAGAGCAGTCTTGAGAGCCCTTCTCATTTCAGCCTGAGGGGCAAGAAGTGAGGCAAGTATTGTCTTTTCCAGCCCTCTGGGCCTACTCCTTGGCCAGCCCTTAAGTGTGGGTGGAGTTGGAATGGCCTAGCAGAGGAGAGTTAAGATCTGAATTAGTCCAGGATAGCTGGGTTGGGAGGAGAAGGGCTATGTGTAGATCAGTGTCTTGCCCCAAGCCATCCCTGATATCAAAGTAAATTTCAGAGAAGGAAGAGGTCTTTTTTTGAGAGAAGGAGGGCACAGTTTATACATACAATGCTCAGGGCTATAAGAATATTGTCTTCAATTGTTACTTACCTGATAGAAGTATTAACATTTGATTTTAAGGGGGAAGATTTATAAGATTTAAGAGTTCCCAATTCTTTTTTTCCCCACCTTCTTGTTGATATATTTTAAAATTATTGTTATTGAAAATATGCACAGCAGAACATATACCAATTCAACAGTTTCTACATGTACAATTCAAGGACATTGGTGACAGACATTAAGTTGTGCAGTCATTCTCACCCTCCTTTTCCACATTGTTCTTCCCCCATTAACACAAACTGATTGCCCTACTATCTTTTGAGTTGTTATTGTCAGTTTGATTCCATTTGGATAGTTTTTTTTTTAAAACAGTATAATGCCCTTGGCAGATATTCTTTACTAATTAGCTGAACTATTACTTGGTTTTAAGACTTCAGAGGTTATTTTTGGTTTAAGGTGTAAAGACTCTCTTGGGACACTAGTTTCAGGGGTTCATCCAACCGCAGTAGCTCCAAAAAATCTGGATTTCAAGAGAATTTTCAGTTCTGTTCCTTATTTTTCCCCCTTTTGATCAGGATTCTTATAGGGAATCTTTGGTCAAAATGTTCAGTAATGGTAGCCAGTTCTGGTCTCATGGCAATGGAAACAGTTAGCCATATATTCCATTTCCTTTGCCTGTGCAACTCTCTCTCTTCCTCAGTTGCTCCAGTGAATAGAAACCACTGTACCTTGGATGGCTCCTGTTGTTGTTATTATGTGCCATGGAGTTGACCAGACTCATGATGACCCCTCCTTGGTTTCTGAGGCGGTATCACTACAGAAGTAGATTGCCCAACCTTCCTTCTAAGGAGTGGCTGGTGGGTTTGAACCACCAGTCTTCTGGTCAGCAGTCAAGTGCCTTAAGCACTACGCTGCCAGAGCTCCTGGATGGCTACTGGAGTGCTTAATTCTTGGTAGTCCCAAATCCCAGACTAGAAAAGACATTTGCATGCTTTTTCATATTTATGCTTAAAAAAAATTAAGTCAATTAAATCGTGTTTTGTATTTTCACTGAAAAAGCAATTAGAAGATTAGAATATAAAGTGTGAGTACTGAAAAGACTAAAGCATTTTAAAGTACGGAATTAGTTGCGGTCACAGCCAGGTTTTTCTTATTGAGGCTTTTGGGTGATAGTGATACCAAAGAAAGTATTGTACCTTTCTGAGGAATGTCAGATTTGCATAATTACCTGGTTGCTTCATTGAATGCAGTTTCTTTAAATTTGGGGGTTTTCAGATTAAGCCTTTTATAAATTATAAATAGATTGGGCTTGACTAACTGAATTTCTATATGCCACGAAGCCCTTCTTGAAAAAAAGCTTTCTTTTGGTGTGTTTCAGCTGTCATTGCTGGCGGCGTTATTGGCTTCCTCTTTGCAATTTTCCTTATCCTGCTGTTGGTGTATCGCATGAGGAAGAAGGACGAAGGGAGCTATGACCTCGGGGAACGTAAACCATCCAGTGCTGCTTATCAGAAGGCACCTACTAAGGAGTTTTATGCCTAAAACTCCCACTTAGTGTCTCTATTTATGAGATCACTGAACTTTTAAAAATAAAGCTTTTGCATAGAATAATGAAGATCTTTGTTTTTTGTTTTTTTCATTAAAGAGCCATTCTGGCACCTTAATGATAAAATCCCACTGTATTTAAAACTTTTCATGTATTTCTTTAGAACCACGTAAAATTAAAACTTAACATCTGCAGTGTTCTGTGAATAGCAGTGGCAAAATATTATGTTATGAAAACTCAATGTTCATGGAATCGTTTGAAACTTTTATGCGCAAATACAAAGTGATTGTTTTTATCCTAAGGTTCGAAGATGAAAGCTGTTTAATTTTTGTCAGCATGTCTCGGATTGACTTTACCAAGTTTGTCTTCATTAATTTATCTGTTGTTTCTCTCTTCTTCTCTGTCCTCCTTCCCCTTGGTCCCCTTGAAAACAAAACTCTCATGCCTTTTGTAGCTGTCATGGTGCAGTTTGTCTTTGGATAATTCAGATAATGGTAATTTAGTGTATATGTGATTTTCAAGTATGTAAACTTTAACCTCCACTTTGTATAGATTTTTAAGTGTCAGACTATCCATTTTACACTTGCTTTGTTTATCGTTACCTGTAGCTTCGGGCAGATTTGCAACAGCAAATTAATATGTAAAATTGGATTATTACCACAAAACTGTTCAGTCATATCTGTCAGATCTTCTTTTGGGAAGATTTGATGTGAGTCCCTGACAAGCCTCAGCAAACCCAAAGAGTTAACAGTATTTTGAGAAGTTGCTGCAGATTCCTTGGGCCACTGTATTTGTTAATTTCTTGCAATTTGAAGGTACGAGTAGGGGTTTAAAGAAAAATCCGTTTTTGTTCTTAAAAATGCATTTAAGTTGTAAATGTCTTTTTAAGCCTTTGAAGTGCCTATGATTCTATGTAACTTGTCGCAGACTGGTGTTAATGAGTATAACAGTTAAAAAAAAAGTTGGTATTTTATAAGCACAGACAATTCTAATGGTAACTTTTGTAGTCTTACAAATAGACATAAATTGTAATTTGGGAACATAAAAACTACTGAATAAATCATGTGGCCTAATATTGAAAATGTCACTGTTATAAATTTTGTACATTTTCGATCATATGTACATCTCCCCTTTCCTAACGACCGTCTGCTCTCAAGGATGATGTGGGTTTGATTTCTGAGTGTTCCACAGAGTCTATAAATCAAGACCAAAGAGGCGGTCAATGAGGTTGTTTGTTACCACATTGACTTCTGAATTGGCCAGAGGAAATCTGACTGTGTAATTCTCATGTGTCTGAGTACAGATTCTGGAAGGCTGCAGCCTTTATAGGTTAGCTTATGGCAATATTGAGACAGATGCCTGCTTTTGCAAATAACTTTTGAGACTATAAATTCCAAAGAACTGAATGGGGCTTTCCTGAAGTGGGTATCTAAGGCTTAATCCTGTACATTGATTTACCTTTGAAACTGCGCCAAATGTCCTAAAGCCCAACCGAAGAATAGATGGAAGACCATAGTTCATAGCATAGGGAGCGAGGGAAGGAAGGGCAGGGAGGCTCTGTGCGTTAACAGGAGAGCCTCACTGCTTACGATTCATTGACGATTGATTGACGTGGCTGGAAAGCATTGCCAGCCAAGGAGGACATAGAGGTAGGCAGATCCTGTGTCTGGATACTTCCTTCTGCCTGAGTATTTCCTCGCTCTGTTTTACCATCGTAGTCCCTAGATAGTGCAGATGGTTAATGAGCTCAGCTGCCAACCGAAAGGTTGGAAGTTCGAGTTCACCCAGAGGCGCCTTGGAAGAAAGACCAGTCTGCTTCCTAAAAATGAGCCACCGAAGTGCTCTGTAGTACAGTTCTGCTCTGAGACACATGAGGTGGCCGTAAGTGGGGATCAGCTCGACGGCAACTCTGGATTTTTTTTTTTTTCTAAAATGTAACCATTAATTTTATGTTAAACTGTGAGTTGCCAAAGTGGGAAGAAGACGGCAAAAACACCAACTTTCCAACATATAATTTAGTAAAATACAAATGCTTCATTTAAAGACCATTCCCTGGAATTGCCACAGAACTCAGTTTTAATTTTTTTTTTTTTTTTTTTCCAAGCAGCACTTGGTACCGTGTTTACAGTACTTAAATCTTTAATGGCCTTAATTCACAAATTCCTTTCCCATCACTTATGGAATCAGTCCACTTTAGAGTGATTAAAAGGAAGTAATAGCATCTTCTAAAGTCTCACCATATCCCTCCGTTACAGAGGTTAAGAATGTAGTGGTATACCTCTAACTGTGCAAAGCAGAGGAAAATTCAATTCAGAGATTTAACAATTGCTTGGAATATCTGTGCCAGGAAAAGAAAATTTCTGGCAAATATTTTGTCACTGCTGTAAAGCAAAATATTTGTTAAAGTGCCAAAATAAAGTCTGTCATGCCGAAAGTAAAAACCCATTGTTTAGACTGACATCCAATTTTCTTCAACTGTCTGTTTTCTGCTTAGTTGTTCTGTTTTCTTTTTATTTAAAAATGCAGTCAATAATACTACAAAAAGTGTTAGTAATGATTACTGAGTTCAGGAAATTTTTGGTAAAATATAAATATTAAAGCTGATGTAAAAATTTCCTGCTTCCTTAAGCACATGTAAATAATTTCATTTGCGTGAATGTGGCTTTGTGTTTGAGACTTGTAGCATAGTGGTTAAGACACTTGCCTGCTAACCAGACGGCTGGTGGTTCAAACCCACCAGCCGCTCCTTGGAAGGAAGGTTGGGCAATCCTACTTCCGTAGTGATAACTGCCTCGGAAACCCAAGGAGGGGTCGCTATGAGTCGGGGCCGACTCGACGGCACTTAACAACAACAACAACAACAACAATAGATTCAGAATGCCCCATTTTCAGCATATGGGGGAAATGGGGTATACTCACTTTTTTTTTTTTTTAATTTTAGCTGCAGGTACTTAGAACTGTGGTGATAGTGGTGGTGGTGGTGGTGTACTGTTGAGTCCATTCCAACTCATAGCAACCCTAGAGGACAGAGTAGAACTGTCCCGTAGGGTTTTCTAGGCACAGTGCCTAAGGCATCTGTCTGCTAACCAGAAAGTTGGCGGTTCAAACCTACCAGCCACTCTGCGGAAGGAAGACCGAGCATTCTACTTCCAAAAATACTTACTGCCCCCGAAACCCAGTGGGGGTCGCTGTGAGTCAGAGTCGACTCATAGGCAATGGCTTGTTTTTTTTAGTTCTTTTTTTTCAGGAACCTTTTCAGGAGCCGATTATCAGATCTTTTTTCCCATGGACTTGCTGGTGGGTTTGAACCACTGACCTTTCAGCTGGCCACCGAGCACATAACCATTGCCCCACCAAGGCTGTTTAACTCAGAATTAGAACCTGGGTAATAAAACTGAACAAGACTGTGAAAATTACCATTTATTAATGTTAAAAATTGATGACGTGTTATGTCAAATATTTAGTGACTTGGGTTTTTTTTTGTTTTGGTTTTTGGTATTTTATTAATATGTTCCTGGGGGTACAGGCACGATAATAACTTTATAGTTTTTAGTAGTTTATTTCTTCGGTATCTTAGACAAACATTTTGAAACCTTGGAAAATTTTTAAGTGAAGGGCCGAGGCATAAAACTTAAAAATGTCCTGTATTGCAGGTTAATTTTATAAGCAGAATCTTCTTTAAAGCTTTGTTACAAGATGATGGGGTGGTACTAGAACAAATATTTTAATTTATTTTGGTTAAAAAAGCCAATGACAATAGCAACACTAAATCTCCAACGTGAATTTCTAAGCTCTAAGCCTCTGGCAGACAGACAACAGTGAGCCCGGAAGGGGCTTTCAATTGAAATTAGTCAAACCAGATGATAAATGGACTAGTCTGAATTGAATGATCACTAAAGTTCCTTTCACTGCTGATATTTTGTGACAATAGTGAAATTTGAGACTTGGCTATTTCTGGGGACAGTTACAGAAAACTTTAAAAAGGCTAGAACAATATCTGTCTGCCTTTTAGTGGTAAAAACAGTATCAAAATGCATTCTGTCCCACTCTGTCTCAACTCTGAGTGATTTCAACTATGATTTAAGGTGCTAAGCTTTCATTTCGTTCATCTGCTATATACGATCTTTAGCAGAGCCTGTTCTGACCAAGGAATTGTGGTGGCTTTGAGAGAAGTTGGTTTCCTGTGAATTATCTAGAAGGGTGGAACCCAAGCCATAATTCCAACCCACAAATAGCAGAGTAAAGCTGTCAGCTTTGGAGTTCCAGATGCCCTGAACACAAGACATGTTCATTCCAGTTTCTTTGGCAAAGTATCATTTGTATGTGCAATGCAATGGAGGTTCAATGTACAAATACTTACATACTGACTGAGCAGCAGACACACTTCTAAGAGTTCTGGGTATAGTTATGAATGAGATGGCCAAAGACCCTAGTCTCCTAGATCATGGAGCTTTCTAGGAGAGCAATAAAGGAGGACATAGTGGTAACGAAGCTACGAATGCAAATGTAATTCCATGCTAGCCATGATAGAGGCTGAAGTAAGAGACTGAAAGACTATCGTCAGGATAGGCTGCAGTAACAAGATCTCAGCAACTTACATCTGCAAAGATGTGTTTCTTGTTCATACTACATTGGAAAGGTTCTACTGTGAAAATTGTCATTCTCCAGCTCAGGCTTATGTAGCCACTATCTGGAACACTGCCAGCCACTGTACAGCGCAACACACTGCTGTCGAGCAGTAAAAGGGAAAGAGTGACGGTGAAGCACAAAGCAGTCTTAAAATTTCCACTCAGTCGTGGCATGTGACGTCCACCCACATTTCATTGGCCAAAGCGAGTCACGTGGCACCATTGAACTTCCACGGGGCAAAGAAGTCCTATCCTACCTTGTGCTTAGTAGGAGAGAGATGGCACTTAGGAATAGCTATAATGACTACAGGAAAGAGTACAGAGATGCAGAGCCAATTGTACTAAAATCTGGGTAAGAACATCCAGGCTATGTATGGAAGGCCCTAAAAAAGAAACAAGCTTGGGATGTTGGAGGAAGAGTGAGAAGGCCAAGCAGCTGGTGAGCTATGGGGAGAGTGGTAGAAGAGATCCGAGAAGAGAAATTGCTTTCAAACTGGGCTTTTTTGTCCATCCACTTTTGTCCACTTAAAATTTATTCTCCATGTGGCAGGCAGACTCATCTCTTTTAAGACGTGAATTAGCTTGCCTCACTCCCTGGCTTAAAGCCCTTCAATGGCTGTTAGAGCACTTAGAGTAAAGTTCCTGCACCTTGCTTTTGCCCTTAAAGCCTACAGGAGCTGACCACAGGACAATGTATAATAAAGGGAATACGGTGGTTAGCAGGGATTATGGTAGCTAGGGGAGAAATAGCAGCTCTGGTGGCGTAGTGGCTAAGGGACTTGACTGCTAACCAGAAGGCTGGTGGTTCAAACCCACCAGCCACTCCTCGGAAGGAAAGTTGGGCAACCTACTTCCGTAGTGATACCGCCTTGGAAACCTAAGGAGGGGTTGCTATGAGTCGGGTCCGACTTGATGGCAAATAACAACAACAACGGGAGAAATGGTGGCTTGGCTAAGGGAGTAATGATGGGTGGAGTGAAGAGGAACTGTTTTTGGTCTCTAAAAGATTGGAAGTTGGGAGTAGATTACAAAAAAAAAAATGGAATCGGATGATATCTATGGTTTGCACTTGCAGTGTGTGAATCGTATTAAGAAAGTGAACAGGAGGGGGTGGGCTGGTATGTCAAGGGTTCTTTGTGGATCACATTAAGCTAGAGAAGACTACTAGACACTTAAGTGGAGGTGTCAGGTAAGAAATTAAATTTAAGAATCTGCTGCTCAGAAGATACTAAGTTGTGAGTTGAGTTCATTATTTACTACTTCCGTAGTGATAACTGCCTCGGAAACCCAGGGAGGGGTTGCTTTGAGTCAGGGCCGACTCGACGGCACATAACAACAACACACCAACCAACAACACACCAACCGACAGCACAGGAGTGAGTAGCATTGGGCGGGGGTGGGGCCACTGCCATCAACTCCATTCTGACATGGTGACCTTGTAGGGTTTCTAAGGT